GACAAGGTAAATCACAACCGTGTAATGGGAAAAAAAGGGGTGACAGACGCTGACCCAGAACTTGCCAGGGGAGGAGAGAGGGCTAAAGCTGATGAAAGCTTAATTGTTTTACAGTTTAGAGATTTCACATTTTTAAAACTACAGGAAGCGGCCATAACTTTGGGGGGTGGGCAGAAAATGACGAGCTAGATCTTAACAGTTTCAAGGAGCAGGAGTCTGTCTGTAGCTGCTTTCCCAGAGTTTTCACTTCCTACCCATCAAGAGGCCAGCATGTCTGTGTACAAAGTGCACTTTTCCTGTTTTGATCAACTCAATTCAAGTTCATTCTTCTCGGTTCCTACTTGGGAGGGAAACATGGTTTACCTCCAACCCCTCCACTTTGGCTAATAAGCTGTTCTCTCTAACCCCTAAATCTCCTACTCTGAATGGGATCACAATTGTGTTTTTAATTATTTGGATGACATGGTTTTTAATCTTGCTTCCCTGTTCTTTTGAAAATGCATGATGACTAGATGTGGGGGGGCAGGTCATAATGCTATCCTGTCTGTCTTTGTAAAGAGCTATATTTTTGTTTTGCATGTACAGGTCTGTTGCTTGCATGCATGTATGTACATCATAGTGGCACAATGCCCAAAGAGGTCAGAAGGTGGCATCAGATGCCCTGGTACTGAAGTTACAGATGATCATGAGCCAATATATGGGTGCTGGGAGCGGAAGCTGAGTCCCCTACAAGAGCTGCAAAAGCTCTTAAGCACTGAGCCATCCCTTCTGCCCTCAGCCTCTTTTTGGTACGTGTACTTTAAATTTACCATAGTGGATAGTGTTGGAAAGTTTCCTCTGACCTTAAAAATGAATGCAGCACAGGCAAACAAATTTGTCTGCTTGTTTTATTTTGTTTTGTTTGAGACAAGACTCAAATCTGGTCTGGAACTTGGGGCGTCCTCAAATCCACAGAGTCCTGCTTACCTCTGCCTCCTGAGTGCTAGGGTTAAAGGTCTATGCTATCACATCCAGCCTTTGACTTTAAAAACTCAAAGCATCATTGCCTACATTTTCCCTTTTCCTGATTAGTTTTCATACAGTGACCATATTAGGGTCATAAATGTCATAGTACTTGAAAAATTGCAGTAAGCCTGACTAGAAATAGTGTGCTCTCCAATATAGCACAAAGAAAGCTATAATGTCGTGTTAGATTCTTAACTAAAAACTCTGTCTTTGGCAAACAACAACAAAGTCCCAACCTTGAAATGAACATCAGGTAACCTAACAAAAATATCTGACGTTCAATTGTTCCTTCACCGATGGCTCCTATTTGACACAAACCTAGAATAGAGATATAAAACTTTTAACCCAGATTGTCACTTTGACTAAATTATTTTCTCTCAGTTTTGTTTAACACTTAATACAAGAAAAAAAAATTGTTAAGCGTAGGTTACAGCTTCAGATCTAAAAGTCTCACAATGTGGAAGAAAGCAAGCAGCCATAAAACATGCTCATGTTTATATTTTTTTTATATGAAACAACAATTTAAAGCGATTTTTCTCCCTGTTCATTTGTAAGATCACACCCTATGAGTGTGTGATCTTAGATTCATCTACAAAGCCAAGGGCAGGGACAGATGCATCTTCTTCCATAGAGCTACGACCCCCATCCGTCTTCTGTCTATTAACGTACTTATGCAGCATGCTGTAGAACTGGTTCTTGGAATTGAAAGTGTACAGTGCCGAAATGTGCTGCCACGCTTCTCTGCTTGGGGTTTTGCATTCCTTTGGATCACTGCACTCAAAGAAACACCTAACGTTCTCTTTTGCCAACTGGGTCGCATTCTCCGAAGCTTCTTTTTGAAGAATCTGCCCCTCCTTTTCCATATATATTTCCCAGAATTGTAGCTGCAGATAACTAACCGGGGAGCAGCATCGAATGAGAGACTTAACAGCCAGAAGTAAAACGATGACGGCTGCTATCAGGACCCAGCCCAGCACCTACAGAAAACACAACAGAACGGCAGCTTAGTGACCTTTGACATTAGAAAAAATTTAAAAACCTGGGATAAAGTCTAAACTATTTACCAGCTTTAATGATGAACAAGTCTTAAGTCCTTTAGAATAAGAAGTGTTAGTAACACCCCCCCCCGAAGTGTTAGTAACACCCCCCCACACACTCCCCAGTACATCAACACAACTGCGGTCTTGAAAAGTCAACCAACCCCTGCCCCCCCCCAAATGCCCAGCGGTGGTGGCACACGCCTTTAATCCCAGCACTCGGGAGGCAGAGCCAGTCGGATCTCTGTGAGTTCGACGCCAACCTGGTCTACAAAGTGAGTTCCAGGAAATGCCCAAAGCTACACAGAGAAACCCTGTCTCGAAAAAACAAACAAACAAACAAAACCACGAAAGAAAGAAAGAGAGAGAGAGAGAGAGAGAGAGAGAGAGAGAGAGAGAGAGAGAGAGAGAAAGAGGAAATGAAACGAAAAAGAAAAGTCAACCACAGTCCAAGTTATGTCGAGTGCCCTAAAAGGAGCTCACACGTCACTCCCCATGAACTGAAAACGTGGAGTTTCTGCGGATCCAGAGAAAGGAGCATCCATTCTAAAGAGCCCGGGGCTTCCTAAGTCTGTGGATAGCGTGGGTGGTGGGTTTGGGTCTGGCAAGACGGAATCTATGGTAAAACTGCTTCTCGTTTGCCCCGGATGTGCAACTTCACCTGGCCCGAGTATTTGCTGCACCGTGGAAGGGAACACTAAAGAATGGCGCCTAAAGTACACAACCCAGGTGCGCTTATTCTGGCTCCTACAGCGCCAGCTGCGGGACGAATGCCTCCTCCTTTCCCTGTCATTGAAATATTCACTGTCGCTGATCTAGGAAAACCCACTGATTTCTTCCTGGCCTCTCGGCGCCTCCCCATCGCGCCCGCCCGGAGTCTGACCTGAGACTGAGCCTTGAGCTGACTCAGGATGTCCTCCATCTCCGTCTCCTGCTTGTTGCAGGGAACCTGCGGTAGGTTGTCGACGCAGCTGTCGTTTCGATCCCCGCACAGGCGCTTGGCCATGTATGTGCTCCCGCTGACAGCACACTGGTAGAAGGAGCCCCCGAGCAGCGCCACCGCCACCCAGGTGACGGCCGGGACAGAGGCGGCCGCGGTGATTTGCGCGCACACAAACGCGCTGTGCGACCAGGAGCTGGAACTCCGGCTCCCTGAGCAACAAGCGGTGAGCAGGCGCCAGGTGCGAGCGCTCAGCGCGCAACCCAGGACGAAGAGCGCGAGCGCTGGCACCAGCAGGAACACCAGGCCGTAGGGCAGGTTCCAGGTAGCGCTGCAGGGACACTGGAACACCACCACGGAGAAGATCTTCTCGCTACCCGCCGTCAGCAGGGTCACCAAGCCGTAGCCCAGGGCGCTGCGATGCTTGCTCTGCAGGTCCAGCACCGCCTTGAACTTCTCCATGAATTCTGCTCACCCTGGGCACCCCGCTGGGCTCAGACACTTAGGCTCTGCTCTGTATGTCAGCTTTGAAGGAACTTTAGAAAAAGGAAGACGGCTTCTCAGCCCTTTCTGGGTTTCACTTTTCTTTTTCAACCAAGCCAGCTCTAACATAGGCCAACAAACGCGCCCCTAGATCCTTGACCTCCCTGGACCCACTCCACATCCCAAGACTGCAGAGAACAGAGGAAGCCCCGAGTGAGAGACTGTATTTTGATATGGGTAGCCTGTCGAGGACTCCTAGACCAATTGGTCCATGGTAAATTGGCAAAGCCATTACCCATATGGGTCAGGGTCTAGAATATCATCGGCAAAGCTTTCCTTGGGGGTCCGAGTGTGCGTGTTTATCAACAGTTGATCAGTGCGTGCGAAGACTGGCAACTACAGCTTTCTCCTGGAAGTTTACAGGCTGTGAATGCTGGCCCACAGGGATGGCTTTCCAGCCTAACCGCTCCTCCGTGCTGTACCTAATACACACGCTAAGGTTTGGAGAGAACTCTACCTGATCCCAGCCTCATTGCATGGGTGTGTCTGGGTGCATGGGTCTGTCCTTTCTCTATTCCATCGCGGCCTCAAGTCAGCCTTTCTGGATCCAAATTGCAAAGGACAGAGCAGAAGGCCGAAGCCCTGGTCACACTGCTCCCTCAATTTTGGAACTCTATCAGGAGAGGACTCTTACTCTGTTGCTGAGCGTTCCTCAAATCCAACGTGACCTCTTACAATGTAGCCAGCTGATCAAAACAAGAGAGCTACTGAATTTCCCTCTATTGTAGCAATCCAAATTCCTAAGCCAAAACCCAGTTACTAGAAACAGGACATTTACAGGAAGCAGAGACATACTTTTTCCTTTTTCCTTCATAAGCTAAACCACAGCAAAACTGTGATAGAAGTATGAAGTCAAGTTCTAGTTCTTCTGTATGATGACCCCAACCACCAGTACAGGGTGCCAGGTTAGTCCCTGCTGACTCCTCTCTCTGTCTCTGTCTTTCTCCCCTCTCTGTCACACACACACACACACACACACACACACACACACACACACACACACACACACACACTTTCTCTCTCTGATATCCCCAAAGGCTGAATGTATTGTTAATTTACTTGTTAGTATAATGGGTATTTTTCACAGGTATACCATAAATCTGTCTGTACCTCCAGGGGGTGTCAAATTATGACTTCATGACCACAGATCATCAGCACAGAGAAGGGTATATGGCAACTCAAAAAATACCAAGAGGCTGAGCTTGTTGGTGCACGCCTTTAATCACAGCAGCGGGGAGGCAGAGGCAGAGGCAGGTGGACCTCTGTGAGTTCAAAGTCAGCCTGGTCTACATCTGGCGTTCCGGGGCTTCACAGGGAGACTCTGATTCAAAACAAAATAAGCAGCAGCAACAACAAAAGAGGAAACAGAAACTCTAGCTGAACCCCAGGCTTTCATGGTGAAACCACATCTCACTGCCCCCTGTCTTCACTCTCCACATGACAGTTCTTCTGACATAATCAAAGCTGTAGCACTGAACCCTACTATTTCACGGCTCCCAAGTGAAGTGAGGGACACCAGAAAGAACACAGCTCTGAACTCGGGTGTTCTGTCTCTGTGTCACTACTCTCTAGGACTCAGCATCTTCATTTGTCAGAGAGGAAGAGGAGGAAGAGGAGTGGCCGGCTCATGATACTGTGACAAGTTGAGCATACGAAAACTGCCTTTGGGGCATGCCACTGAAAGAGCAGTCAGTCTGACAGGTGACGACTTACACTGCACCTCTAAGAACAGCCATCGATTAACTTCATTGTGTCTTATTCACATGTGTGCTCAGTTTGAGACCACGGTATGTGCAGGCACTTAATGACCATGCCCTACCCTAAGTAATTCATGCTGCCCTTAGCTGACCACAAGGAGGGCGTCCGCATAGTCTGAGCGGATGGTTCACAATCAGCTAGCTGCTCTTGGTGTCCACACTAGGCTGCCTTTGTTTCATTTGATGAGTATTAATAGCTTATACTACAAAGGGCATTTTTGAAACAGGTCAAGAAGCATTCTTTCCTTAGTCCACTTGCCTTCCTTAGCTGTACATACCCACTACCACCAGTGACTCTAACCTGGCACAAAAACTCAAGAGTGGGTGTGACGAGAAGCCCTTTTTTCCTTGTCTGGTTAGAAGCAAGTCCAGACTGGGATTTTTCCTGTCCTGTAGCCTCACTAAGGCTAGTGACTACATGTGTGAAGGGAATTGAGTCCTCTGTGACTCTCGTATCTGTAGTCCTCTGTCTCCTAAAACATCTTCCTTCCCATGAGTCTTGGCTAATGTTCTTCTCATTGCTAGGTGGGTCTTCACCTTTATCCCACTCATGTTTTGTTCTTCACCCACAATTTCCATGTTCCATCAAGAGAGAAACTTGCTGTGTTCACAACCTTCGTGCAGATGGCTTTATTCAAGTTTTCCTTCACCAAACCCTAAAGAAAATGCAGTTTTCCAGCCTCTGACTAAGGCTTATTCTTACATTTCTGCCATCCAAGTACTAACCAAGGCAAACCCAGCTTCTGAAACCATATTTCTCATGCCAAGAAGGGCTAGCCTTTTCCTGGCTACTTCTTATAATGACCAAACCTGAGATTTCCCAACACTCCATAATAGTGTATGTACCCTCTACCAAAGCTCAAAGCCACTCAGAATATCTATCCTCTTTCCTACCTCGACTCTACCCTCAATCACCTGTTTTCATTCTTTTATTTATTCAGCTTTAATGGAGGTGGCAGGCAACTTTCTACTCTCTGGCTCTTGTCAATTAAAGATATGATTTCTATTTCTCTTTCCCACTGTCTGCTTCCTTTTCCGACTAAATTAATTTGTTAACCAGTTCATTCATTAGTTTGTCTCTGCAGTCAGTCATTCACTAAAATGATTAATAAGCATACAGGCTATGCTGGGCTCCTGCAGGAAATGGCTGATTCTGTTAGATACAACATGATCAAAAGGTCCCAGGCCATCCCTAAGAGTAAAGGAGAAAGAACACAGAAAGTGAGGTAGGAGTTCTAAAGATTATACAGAGGGAGAAAATGGAATGACCGCAGGTGTTCCTGCAAATCCTGTGAGGAGATGGCAATTAATAGACAAGCAATGATCCTGGAATACAAGGGAGCTTGGCTGTAAAGAAGACCAGAGCAAAGGGAATGTTGAAGGTGAGAACCAGGGTGACACATCATCGGGACAAAGCTGCAGGTGAAATGTCAGGGTTAGGGCTTTATAGACCAAAACATTCTGCCTGGGAACTCACCACAGCCTGAGTCATAACGACTTAGTGTTGGGTCAGCTTGTGTCTCTAAACACCATCCCCACCCCACCCCCGCTTCCGCCCCCGGATTTGCTTCCTCTTTGTTCACAAATCACAGTCTCCCAGGTACTGATGATCATGTGTGATCCGAAATTTCGACAGCCTTGGAGGGTTCTGGTTCTGCCTGAAGTTTCTCCTAGAACACCTATGGCTCTGTGAGTGGTTTTAATTTTGGGTCTTTTGAACATAATCCAACCCTCTATACTCAGCAGTCTTCTAGAGAGTGTTGGTCAGAAGTGAAACTCTCAGTGGAAGCAGACTCACGCGAAAGAGCAACATTTATAAGGACTTTGGAAAAAAAAAATCTATGATTGGAACACATTTCTTCTCAGTAACAAGCCGAGGAGTCTTGTGCTCACACACTGTACATTTAGCCAGTGTGTGTTTGATTTTCTTTGTGTATTTTGTTTCTCAACTCTTGTGATCAATGGACCGGGTTTCAAATGACCAGAATTTCTGAGAAAAGAAAGCAAGAAAACTTGAAAGAAACCACAGCACTGTGAATCTGAAAGCTGTTTGCATCTGTCTTGCAGGAAGCTGCTTCTCACAGTAGTCCACATCTTCCGGAGAGAACTCAGGACACTCCCACGTATGACTTAGAATATGTTTGCTACGAAACCCCTCATGTTAAAGAGGATGTCTTTATGCATATTAAAGAACATGTGTTCATTTAATATATATGAAAATATGGAACAGACTTGAAGATTAGAAGAAACAGCTTTATTGAGATGGAGACATAATTCCTATTATGTAATTTATCTATTTAAAGTGTGTACTCCACCATTTTATGATGTTCCCCAAACTGACCATTCCATCACCACCATCGATGTACAGCGTTTTCATCACATGAAAGAGAAGTTCAGTGGCATTTCCTAATCATTCCCATTTCTCGTCTCTCCCCAACTTACCCTCCAATTTCACATTCCTGGGGCCTCTCAATAAGCACTTACCCATTGTCTTTCTGCATTGCCTATTCTGGATATTTTCCATCTTTCTATCTTTACTAGTGTGTGTTATATCCAGCATCTCTTTATCATCTGTACCTCTGGGGATCACTCTAACTTCTTCTAAGGCATCAACAGCAACACAGGAAACCCTTTCCTGCCTCTATGGCTTTGGAAGTAAACCTTCCTCTGCCTGGAATTTTCTCTCCACTGCTTCTTTCTCATCCCTTAATTTTTATCTCAAAGGTCACATCCTCAAAAGGAGTCCTTCTGTGTTAAAGAGGTTAGGCTATGCAGTGTAACAACAACAGCATCCAATCTTGGTGGCTTTGTGCATCTGTTTCTCATTCCAGAACTTACACTTTATGATCCCCGACTTCCACACTACCTTGAAATTTAGCGTTTCTATTTCATTCAAAGTCTCCCCCATGCTCTGTGTTAGTCAAGGTTCCCCAGTGTCCTGGTTTTCTTTGCTTTGTTTTGTTGGCTTGTTTTTTCAGTTTGACACAAGGAAGAGTTAACTAGGAAGAGGAACCATAATTGAGCAAATGCCTCCATCAGATTTTCTGTGCCCGAATCTGTAAGGCTGAGCAAATGCCTCCATCAGATTGCCTGTGCCCAAATCTGTAAGGCTGAGCAAATGCCTCCATCAGATTGCCTG